CCCCCCCCCCCCCCCCCCCCCCCGGTCATCTTTGTGTTTCTTATCAAAAGCAAGTCAAAGTCTTTTAACAGATCATAATTGTAAGTTAGTTAATAGATATATCTATGAAAAATAGATGTTTAGTAACTGATAAAATACCTACGTTTTGTTATCAGTTGATAAAAAGTAAGGTGACTTTTTTAAAGTAAAATAAAATAATGTTTTTTATTTATTTGAAAAAATATTTTTGTAAACTAAAATTTCTAAAACAATTGTTTAAGATTATTTATTATACAATTAAATATTAATTTACTAATGCATTGGTTTTACAAGAAAAGTAATAATTTTATTTTATTTTATGATTTAGAATTAATCTTTATTATCTAAATACCACACTTAAGAATATTAACCATATGTTTCTATTTGAATTATAATCCATCAACATATATTTGATTAGAAATATTTTTGCGAGAAAACATTTTTAAGCATTGTATAACTGGATTTTGTTTCAAACTAAAACAATTCCATGAAAATCTGTTTCTATGTAAAGTTTCAATTTGAAATTCACTTTTTTTTAGGTATTCTTGATGGCGAATCATGATGCTATCTCTAAAATACAATATCTTGTCAGTGATAAACTAACAGCCCAAACTTTTTTTTCACAATATTTATTATAACTTGAGCTTATGAATGTTTTATCTGAAAAACGCTCTTCAACTAACATTTTTTCGATTTCAGGAAATTTTTTTTGTCTATAGATATTACATAGTTTTCTAATAAAAACCTAAAAGAACTTGAATTCTATTGGATAATTAATATGGCTATTTTTTCGACTGTAGATTTTTATGCATATAGAAAACTCAACTAGACTACTTTTTTTTTTTCATTTTTTACAGGAGCTAAGCTCTCTCTCTATATATACACAGTTTCAATCAAGATTTAAAAATACGAGTTATCGAATAACCTAAAGTCATTAGAAGAAAAAAACTTCATAGTTTAGTCAATTCTCAGTAGTAGTATAATTTTTATTAGAATATCTACATAATATTTGCAGGCAAAAAAACAAATCAGTAAAATCAAAAGAGAACAACTAAAAAGATTCTTTCGTAAATCATTCAATCTTGTCAGTTAGTTATAAAGTAGATGTAGAGGAATATTAATATTAGAATAATTTATATCGAGATAATAGTATAACATATATTATACTTGCATAATCCGTGACCTTTAAAAAGATTTAATAAATCCCAAAAAGAATATATATGTCCCTATGGCCTCTCTCTCTTCCTTATTCACTCGCATATATTAGAATAGAAGAATATCACAGTTTCGTGAATGTTTTTTTTTTTTCTCTCTTTTTCTTCTTGTGAATATCATAAATGAGAAGAACAAAAACAATGTTGCTAATAGAAGAATAAATATATATTTCCTAAGCATAAGATGTTGAGCAAAAGAACATTACACTTATTGTTTTCTAACATATATTATTTGTCTTACGTATTTTATATTAACACATCAATATAGAACTCAGTAAAAATGTAGATGAAAGTAACTCTATATATAGGTGTTAGAATAATGTTCTTTTTTTTTGAGAAATGCAAATAAGAAAAAAAAAAAAAGAATTCTTCGAGTTTATTCTTTTTATTTTAATTAAAAATTATATGCATTTATATATTCTTTTCTTTAGATTCATCTCCAAATAGTGAAATAGATATTGTTATGGATAAATTAGGTGGTAATACAAAAGAAAATAATGATTTAGAAGCTGGAATACAACCACCAAAAAAATCTAAAAGACGTCATTTATTAAATAATCTATTTGATTTTTTAGCAATAGCTGCTAGTAATTAAACAAATAATGAAATAGATTTTTTTTTAATTTTATTATTTTATTATTATTTTCTAGCATGTCTTATTTTTGGACTTATTTATTTATTAATTAAACCAGTATCAAGAGGTTTCTATTGTGATGATAAATCAATTCAATATCCATATAAACCAGATACAATTCCTATGTGGTTACTTGGAGTTTATGGAGGTATTGGTCCTGTTGTTATTGTAAGTATAAGATAGTCTTTTAAATAAATTTATTTCTATTTAATATAGCTATTCAAAAAGATTAGTATCTAGAAAAAAAAGTTGAAACTTTATTTTTTTTTTTGAGAAAATTAATGGAAGATATGATGTTCTATATGTTTTTATTTTCAAATGCAAAATTGTTGAAAAAACTTTTTTTAATTAATTATTTTTTTTTTTTGCAACAGTGCACAAAGTTAGAAAACATGCACATAAAGAGTGCACTAGACGTTCTAATTTTGTTTTATTTAATAGATGATTTCATTTTCCTAGAATTGTCTTTATAGAAGAAAAAGTACAAAAAAATACATTGTTCAAAATGATTATTAATTTATTTTTCTAGGTTATTTAGTAAGAAAATTATTAACTTGGAATTAGTCTAAAGTTTACTAGGCATTCATATTTTAATTCGATCTACAATGCGGTTATTAGATATAACGACTATCGTGTATTAATTCTGTTTTCGAAAGAGAAGAAGTCTATGTGGATGGCAAACGTTGCATTTAAAAAATTACTTTTTTTCGAATTCAACTGTTGTGAAGCATGATTTAAATCGCAGACTGTGACAGGCGGGATCGACATGCTAGAAGCAATTTATTACCTTACATGACGAACATCTTAGCAATATCTTTCCTGTTTAATATACATAGTTATAGAAACGCTAGAAATGTGACAGATATTGTCGATAGATCCTTATTGTATTTCTTGAGGGTTAATGTAGAAATCACTTTGATTATTGTTCAGTGATTTTTTTTTGTCTTTAGATGTAACTGCGTTTCTATTAAGAGTTATCAGATTTGTTCTGTAGGGTTTTGGTTTTCGAAAAATTTATAGTTTTCAATTTTGATCTAGAACTTCGTGTCTATGGGAAAACTCAACTAAAGGATGGCCCAAAAGTCGATTTACCGAAAAAAAAATTGAATATCTCCATTACGGATCGAGCAAATGAGCTGATTTTTTTATCAATGATAGAGGCGTGTTCAAAGTTTATATCAATAAAAACATGCCTAGAGAGACTCTTTGTTAAGTATTACTATTGACCTGAACAAAAAAAATTTACTTTTTCACAAATAGAAAAAAATACAATACACTTAACAAAGGTTGCCTCTAGGCATGTCTTTATGGATACAAAGTTCGAACATGCCCCTATCATCGATAAAAAAATCAGCTCATTTGCTTGAGTTCTAGAGGATTTATTCAATTTTTTTTCGGCAAAGTGACTTTTACGCCATGCTGCCCACAGAAAAATTTTTCAAGAAAAACTGCGGTTTCATAAATCGCGAAAGTCAGACCGTTTATGCGGTTCTTGAAACCGGCGAAAAACCGCGGTCGGGGCTGAGTTTTTGCAGGTCTAACCGCGGTTTCAACCGATTTTTAAAAGACGCATAAATGGTCTGACTTTCGCGGTTTTGTCAAAATGCGGAATAAAACCGCGGTTTTTTTTCGGAAGAATTTTTCCGTGGGTGCATATTGGCTTTTTCCTATCTGTGAAGAAGTAAATTTTTTTTGTTGAGACCAATAGTGATACTTAACAAAGGATCTCTCTAGGCATGTCTTTATGGATATGAACTTTGAACATGCCTCTATCATTGTTAAAAAAATCAGGTCATTTGCTTGACCCGTAATGGAGATATTTAATTTTTTTTTTCGGTAAACCGACTTTTGGGCCACCCTGTAGACTACTTTCGATTAAAAAAATTCAACAAAGTTTCTTAGAAATATGAGATTTTCAAGATATAAATACTTTTTCATGTATGTGCAATTTTTTTCTTTATGTAAGCTAGTCTAGGAAAAAAATACTCATTGATATCGGTAAACTTTCCTGTGGTTAGCAACAGCAATTATACCGTGTTGTGCACTTTAATCACACGAGAACTATACTAAAAGTTTTTCTTAAATATTTTATTTTATTTTTTTGATGACTCTATCGTAAACTGTTATATTCTAAGAGTTTTTAGTATGCCACTTATTATTCGAGCTTTCACTAATTTTCTTGTTAATATACGATTTATTTTTTCCAACTTAGTGATTCTTCATAGAAGAATAAATACATGATAACATTTATATCTAGTTAATGAATCAAATATTGTATTCATTACAGAGATGGACAAAATCGCACCGCGTCTCCCCGCGCCACTGCTCGCGCGTAGGCGCTACGCACATCTCTCTTTCTCTTTGCTCTTCCAATCAGTTTCTCAAACTCCATCGAATACCGGGATGCTCTAAGCATGCGCTCATCGAAGCTCAGACTAGTGTAGCGTAGGCGTGAGCAACGGCGCGGGGAAGCGCGGTGCGACTTTGTCCATCTCTGATTCATTATAAAACAGTTTTAAAATGATTTTGAAAATGTTATTTGATTGTTTGAGTTTATCATTTCATTTTTTTTTTGTTATTAAAATATTAACAATTAGTAACTATGAATGAAAAAATAATTTTTTTTCTTAATTATCTTATGTAAAAAAATTCTTTTATTCGTTATATTTTTCTTTCATTTAGTTTCTTATGGTGGAAATATGGGTAGTACGTCCATTTCATTGTGGTCGTCGATCACATAAAAGTACATTAAAACGACGACAAATTGATTATATTAAAACAATTTTTCAAACAATATTTCTATTTGGACTTGGTATTGCTATTTGTTTTTTTATTACTGAAGTTGGTAAACGTAAGTAATAAATAAAAATTAATTCCTAAAAACAATATCAATTTTAATAGGTACAATTGGTCGATTACGACCATATTATATAACTATTTGTAATCCTGTATGGGCTTATATTCAATGTACAAAGACATTACAAACAGCAAGTGGTCCATTGGTTATTTCACAGTAAGTTTCTTTTTTCTTAAGGATATCTTCGCTTCTTTTCAAACATTTCTTGAAAACGACGTCATGAAAAGTTTATAAAACTTTCAAGATAAATAGATCTTGATAAGTCGAACAAAAGTTGTCATAGACTTGAAATTCTCAGATTTTTTCCTTTCCGAAAGATATAGAGAACGCAAAAGCAAAAAATAACGGGCAAATCTTTCTTTTCACAAAACTCGACAGTTGACAGAAGAACAATCCGAACAAATTCAGATGTTGATTATAGGTGAATTGCTAGGCTAGTAGTTCGAACAACACTGTAGGCAAAGTTTTGCTTTAAGTAAATCTATGTTATAATTATTAGATATATTACAAATCATTATTGTAATTCAACTGCACCTACAAAAGATCTTCAAGAAGCAAGATTATCATTTCCATCAGGCCATGCAAGTTATTCAACATATGCATTTATCTTTTTATTTGTACGTATAATATATAAATAATTATGATAAAAAAAAAACAAAAAAAAATGTTTTTCACATATGACTTATGTTTTCATAGGTTTATTTTGAAGCACGTCTTGTTTGTCCACGTATTCAATTTCTTAAACCATTTCTTCAATGTTTATGTATTGCAATAGCATTTTTTACATGTTTATCACGTGTTACAGATAATAAACATCATGCAACGGATGTTATTGGTGGAGCAATAATTGGTTTTTGTATTGCAGTTTTTGCAGTAAGTTTTAAATAAAAATAGATTTAAATACAAAAAGAACTTGTCTTCTTCTTTTTTTTTTTTTTTGATCATTTTAGGCAGTACGTGTTGGTACATATTTATGGAGTTTTAGTGTTTATTGTGAAACAGTTGATGAAACAAAAAAAGAACGTTTACCAGAAAATGAACGTGTTCCTATACCAGGTATTGAAACAAAACAAAGTGGTGCATTACGTTCAAATAATCAAATGCAATTAGAAAGTATTCAACATCAACGTCAACCACCACCTATAGTACATACTCGTAATAATATGAAACCATATTATGATAATGGTGTAACTGTATCAGAACAGAAACATACTTCAAATGCTATATTTCATGGAGGACGACGCGTGTCACCAAATGTAGCATATGAAGGAGCAAATAATTAATATATTGAAATTTATTCATTATTTGCAACATCATAGTCAGATAGAATAAACAAAAAAGAACAGACATAAATATATAAATCTATTCGCTTTGGTTATTTCAAAAATGCTTTATGTAACTCAATATCTTCAAAAATCATATGTGTGTGTGTTCGAATACATTTTGATCAATTATTTGTTGTTGTACTATCATATATTATATCCTACATATTGATATATTGTTGTTTACAAAACAAACAAACAAACAGCTTTTAAAATACAATTCGACTCTTTATGTGATTCATTATGTCTAAATATAAACTATGAATTTGTACAATTCATAATAAAACATAGAGATACATATGAAGGATAAAAAAATTACTTATGAATGAGCTTGATATCCGTTGTTTGAGTTCTTATTGGTCCTACAATGAAGTATTGGAGAGATTAAAAAATGCCTAAAAGAATTCGTATCCAAGAATCTTTGGCATCAAATTATCGAGAGATATTGAGTTTCCAAAAAATAGTCGCCTGTGACAGACCTGTCACAAAAAATCGAGTTTACTTGAAAATTTAATATTCCCACAAAGGAATATTCTAATGATCATTAGACCTATTAATAAAAAAATTTTTAGGTCACAAAATTCAATAAAGTGGTCATAATTCGGTACCAAGGGTCCATTGGCACGAGATTTTTTAAATCTTATGGTGAATCCAATATGAGCTCAAACGACAATTAGTTTAGAAAAATTCACTCTGAGCAATCAGATCTAATAAATCACTCCGAGAGATAGAAGACACTTCTACAGGTGTGTACGTTCAGATAATTTCAGTTTTCCGAGCAAAGTTTTGCAGATGCTTTTGAGTGAGTCTCCACCCATATTTTGTAATCATTACTTAGTAGTTCTCTGTAAAATTTTTCAATATTTGGACATGTGAGAAACTCTGAAAGTCTTTAGTCTGATGACAAATTTAGATCCAATTCGTCTGAACTTTTTACTAAACAAAATTTCTTAAATGATAAAAGTTGTTAGTATAATTTCCATGTAAATAACTATGCTGAATAACACAAATAATAGGTTAACGTGTCATTTAAGTATTCTATGTCTTCATTACGGAACATTTATAAGCAATAAGATCATATCCTTTCATTAATAGATTTGCCGGAAGTTCGCCAATATATCTCCGGTACTTTCGCCAAATTAAGTGCAAATCAGACGTGAACTTTAAAAAAATAAAAGGCTTCCGTTATCTTTGATTATCTAGAAAAATATTTTTAATGAATGAAAAGCGATGAACTAGAAATTTCATTGGAAAGTAATGAAATAATAATTTCAGACACAAACCCAAAAAAAAAAACTAATTTACATAGAAATTTTTCTTATTTGTTTTAGTACGATTTGAAACAAGAATTCGAGATCTTGACTCTTATATCAACTTGTAGATCAAAATATACTCTACAAAATGTACTATAGAAAGTTATGTTTAATCAAAGTTTATTTTTAAATAATAAAAACTACACCGAAACCGAGCATGAATATATCAACAAAAGGCCAAAGAATATCACCATGCTAAAAATAATAAATCACGTACGAAAAGGGAAGTGATTTGAAACCACTATATAAATATTTTTTTTTTTTAAAAGTGATAAGTTCATATTGATGAAAATTTATCAATCGAAACGATATATTTTTGTATTTGCTGATTCAACATAAAATGCATGTACATCTCCAGATGGATTAATTGTAAAATTATATTGTTCATTTTTATGATATTTACCAAGAAATTCACTATGGAATGTTTCAAAAAAATCATATTCATCAAAACGACCTAAACCAAGATCAGTAAGATTTACACTTATATGAATTGGTGTTCCATATGGTTGAGGAAAAAGTGCAACAAACTAAAAAATACAATATGAAAAAAAATAATCAAATAAATGTTCGAAATAAATATTTACAGCAGTACGATCATCTATCAATGGTTTACTCCAAACTTCAACATTACCATTTAACTAAAGAAAAAAAGACAAAAAAGTTAATTGTACTTTTTTTTTCAAAAAAAAATATTGTTCGCGAAACCATCCTGATACTCGTTGTTTTCGATTGAAACTTTTAGGCATATTCTGCAGACTTGTTTTCTTTTTTAGTGTTTATCAAAACTTCCTTATAAATTCAAATAGTGAGGTATCAACTCGAGAGATTCTTTGATCAAATCGAAATGTAAAGAAATAATAATTACTTTAAGAATACGTCGTCCCATAACTCCAAGTGGATCTTGATTAATTGAAATTAAATTTTTATTTAATATTATATCACGTGCCCAATCATTAATTGTTCGTAAATCAACAGAAAGAATAAGTGGTGCAGCCATAATTGACCAAAGTGCCATTTGTGCTCGTGATTGACCTGGACTTAAACCATAATTACCAACTACAATCTATAAATTCATAATAATATAAAGATAAAATAAAAAATTAAATCATATATATTTATTTACCATATCAGGATCATTCCAATGTCCTGGTCCATGAAATGAAGATAAACGATCTTGATTATCACCAAACCATTGTATAATTGAATAAACACTATCCCATGAATCATCAATATCACCCCAATTTCTCCATAAATTACATGTTTGAGCAATAGCAGAATAATTTGGTTTCATTTTTGAATATTCTTGATATGCTGGCCATGAACATGAATATGCTATTGGATAACCAGTTGCATTTAATGCACGTTCCATTGATGGATAACCAGTATCATAATCTTTTATATCAGAATTACATCCATCTAATTTTAAATAATCAACTGTCCATGAAGCAAATGCTAAATTATGAAATATATATATATCTATAACTAAGAATTTCGATTGAATTTAATTCTACTTTGAGCATCTTGTTCTAAATGTCCTAAAACACCTGGATAACCAGCACATGTTTCAGTACCATAATCTTCATAAATACCAAATTTTAATCCTAATGAATGTACATATTCAGCTAATGCATGAATTCCACTTGGAAAACGTTCATTATCAGGTTGTAATGATCCATCCTATTGTTTTTTGATAAAATGATATTTTCTTTTTCTTTTAATCAAATTTCTAACTTACAGCTGCTCGTGTATTATTTAACCAACAATCATCAATAATAATATATTCATAACCAGCAGCTAAATATCCACCATCAACTAATAATTTAGCTTGTGTTCGAATTAATTTTTCACTAGAAATTTTAATTTTATATTTATAATAAAATTTTTCGAAATATTAACTAACCTAATACATGTATCAGGATATTGTTGACAATTTGTTTCACAACGAAATCGTTGCCATGTTAACCAACCCTTTGAGACAAAAAAAAAACAAAATATTATTTTTATAATAAATCATATTCATTTTACCATAGGTGGTTGTCGTAGGAGACCATTTTCTAAAGAATTTACTCGATGATTATACCAACCAAAGAGTATAAATACAATTAGATAATTAATTATATGTTCAGTCCAATTCATTATATTAATCTTACAAAAAAAGTAAATAAATAATTAAAACGTCAATCAGACCCAGATTAATATACATCAATGATGTATCAGACGAAAGATGGTAAATTATTATTATTCATCCTTTTGACGTCTATCAATGATCTATAGTAGATTCGATCACTGTTTTTTCTTTATCGTATTCTAGTTCAATAGACCATTCGAATAAATAATACGTCAAAGAAAATCTCAAATGATTTTTGACTTCATTAAATCTCGCGTTTTTCTCTTGAATTTAACTAAAATATTAATTCTTTATTCATCTTATTAGAATAAATGTTCCGGTTATTACTATCAATAAATAGTCACGACATACATTAACTAATAACAACAAAAAAAAAAAAAAACAAACTGTCGTGTTCAATAAAATGAAGTTAATATGAAAATAAAATTAAGTTTCTAATCTAATAATAATATATAATTTATTATCATGATTACATGATTTTTTTTTCTCATTATTAAGTTGTTAAAATATAATTAAAAAATAAAAATAATAATAATCTTTTTTTGTTTCATTATAAATATATAATATTCTTGATAGTATATTTATATTTTAATTAATAACCTCGACTAAAACTATTACCTCGATATAGAAATAAATAAAATTGATTAAGAAGCAAAATTTTATTCGTAATCGAACTACCATCGATAGTTACTATTTGAAAAGTATTGTCCTCTTGTTACGCATGATCACATTATTTCGAAAGATGTCTCTCGTTTTGCAGGTTATAGAATATATTTTTTTAAAACTGGCAATATAGAATATTACCTTTGACCAAGACAAAATAGAATCAATAATGAAATTTATTATTGATGTTTATCAAAGAAATTTTTTGTTTACAAATACATCTTTCGAATAAAATAATTATTCTATAATAACTGCCATTTCTTATTAATCAAATTCATTGTATAAATACATTCACACACACCCTTCAAATCTACATATTCACAGTTCAAAAACTGTAACAACTCAATCGAATGAAATTGTACAATAATGACTGTCTTGTTATTTTTGATGTAACATATTTATCTGTAATTTATCTTCCAAACTGAAAAAAAAATAGATCTGTCATAATTCCAAAAAAAAAAAAAACAATAAATGACAAAATCATTGACAAACAAATACCATTCTCATCGATCTAATCTTTTGCTTGTAAATATAAACAATCTGTGAAAGGTCAAAATTAATAAATCATACATTTTTTTTTTCACTTTCGTTCATTATTTCTGCTGCAGACCTTTTTTTTTTTTATGTAATGTATATGTGCTGAAAAGAAATAAAAAGAAGCCAAAGACAGCAACAAAAAAAAAACGAGAGAGAAAGAAGAGAATTAAGGAAAATGAGACAAACAAAAGAAACTGAAGGATAAAGAAAGAAAAAAAAAATGTAATGCATGTGCATATAATGCGATTGACATCATGGTGAAGCTATTTTTTGCTTTTTTTTTCCTAGATAGTCAAATGAACACACACACACAGAGAGAGACCAGCAACACAAATGTGAGGAAAAATATATATGTATATAGAAATAAACACAAACACACAAGGATAGTACAAGTGTCTCGGTAGATAAACGAACAGAAGAAATTAGTGTACAAAAGCATGTTGAAAAAAAAAAGAACAAGAGATGCGACAGTGAAGATATATAGTGAAGCCGAATAGTAAATTATTCTAAAAGTTGTTCTTCGCTTGTGTAAAATAATTTCGAGCAGCAATTTTGTTTGATCATATGATGTTAATTTCGTCAATACATGAAAAAAAAAAAAAGAAAAAAGAATTAAGTTAGAAGCCACTGATACACAGACACACACACACACACACATATATAAATGTATATACGACAATAAAAATTAGGACAAACAAAATCTAACGTTTAAGATCGATCTTTATTAAGTGAATCACCACTGGTTGTTTGTTCATCGAGATTATCTTCATCAGGTCCATTCATATTTGTTGTTGGTAAAACTGATGGTGGTGGTGTATTAGTCGTATGATTTGTTGGTGTTATTGATTTTTCATTAACATTTGATGTTCCTGTTGTATTAACACCAGTTGCTGAAGCATTTATTGGTGTTGAATTTGTTGATGAAATAACATTACCACTTGTTGTAACTGTTTGTTGACCATGTAAATGTGCAGGAATTAAACGTGAATTGAGCGTTGGATTTATATTTATTTCTACACAAGAAAAATCACAAAAAATTTTCTTTCGAAAAATAAGTTTTTTTTTCTAAAAAACAAAAAGAAAAAGACAAACCCTGTTGACTAAAATTAAACAATGGAGGTAGAGGTCCATTTGGTAATCGTGTATCGGGATCACGTAATTCATCAAAAAATGCATGTGCACATGCTTCAAGCGGTGTTAAACGTGTAGCTGGTGTATAATCAAGTAATCGACATACAAGATCAATAGCCATTGGTGGTGTACGATTACGAAAAACTTTATGCCATGGATGTGCTTTTATTTGTGGAAAACGAAATTCTTGATAATTAGGATTCATTTGTCGAATTTGTTCACGACTTGGTGTACCTAATACTTTAATTATTTCAACTAATTGATCAACACCACTTTCACCTGGAAATATTGGTTGACCAAGTAAAAGTTCAGCAAGTACACATCCAGATGACCAAACATCTTTTATAATCATTTGAATTTATTTTAAATGAAAAAAAAAAAATAAGAAAAATTTTACCTATATAACATGTATAATCAATAGCACCAAAGATTAATTCTGGTGCACGATAATAACGTGAACAAATATATGAAACATTTGGTTCACCTTTAATTAATTGTTTAGCACTTAAAAAAAAAATAAATAAATTTTTAGAAAAAATTATTTTTTTTTCTTTTGCAAAATTTATTTTATACCTGCCAAAATCGCATAATTTTAATACGGATGTCTCCGGATCAAGTAATAAATTTTGAGGTTTAATGTCTCGATGACAAATACCAAATGAATGTATATAGGCCAATGCACGAAATAATTGATACATATACAACTATAGTTTAAAAATAAATTTTTGTATTGAAAAAAATTCATTATCAATAGAAATTTTAAAAAAAACTTCCGTTATAAACATTAGTTTATTTATCAATCATTATGTATTTACATGAATGATGTTTTATTAGTTGAGAAAATATTATTCTTAAGATTTGAATAAATATATTGATAATTTCTAAACATATTCTAATTCTACAAGGATTAAGATATCTGTTCATATATTCAATTATATCGTACATTGAATAGATAATTCAGAAAAGAGAAAACTCGTTTTATTACTATCTGAATATTCTTTTTATGTAATCAAAAAAAAACAAGCCATTGAACTAAATACAATCTGTTTATGATTTACCTATTTATTCAAGATAGACTTAACTTGATGACATAAATTTTCATGATTAATAAATTCTTATTTCTATTACAAAACAAAACTCTCTTAATATTTGTAAAACTATGTTATTAGTTACATACTACATCACAAAGGTGAAAAAAAAAACGGCTTCTTTTTTTTGACTATCTATAATTGAAATCTGACAGTTGTTTAGAAATACATTATGACAAAAATCTATATAATTCATACTTTGACATATAGAAGCGGAATGGTTTGTTTTTGTTTTGTATAATGACGTGCGACACGATAGACTGTCTCCGGTACATATTCAAGTACAAGATTTAAATAAACTTCTTCTTTAAGCTAAAAAAAATCAATAAAAATATAAATTATAAAAATATTTTCAATAGAAAAATTTACTTTATCACCCGATGAAAAGAAAAAATATTTTAATTGAACAATATTTTGATGATCAAGACGTCTCATAATTTGAAGTTCTCGATTCTTAAAATGAATAATATTATTATTTTTTTTTTTTTTTTTGTTCAATAAAAAAATCTTATATTTACTTTAAATCTTTTATCTTGTAAAACTTTTTTTATAGCTACTTGTTCATTTGTATGTACAATTTTAGCTTGATAAACAACACCAAATGAACCATTACCAATAACTTTTGTATCTGTATAAGATATTTCTTCAGATATTTCAGCTCCACGACCTCGTGTTGCAACTACTGTTACGGCTTTTAAATTATTAGCATCTAATCGATCTAAATCAATACAAATTATTTTTCTTATAATAAAACAAAAACAAACGATATCATACTATCAACTGGTTGTTTACGTTGTGTTGATGATGCTGTTGCTGATGTAATACTACTCATTTTAAAATTTTATTATATATATATATTTTTTTTTGTTTTTGAAATTTAAATAAATAAAAAATTTTTTTTTAGAGAAAAATCCGTTTTTCTTTCATATTTTATATCTCGATGAATAAATGAGATGAATATTAATCTAGAATATAAACAAAAAATAATAATAAGATGTCATTTATTTATAAGAACAAAATTTATATATATTTTTTTTTTAACGATTTGGTTTTGGTAATGTTCTTATTCTAACTGGTGGTGCTGATACACGTTGTGGTTGTGTTGATATTTGTTGATTTAAATTAGTTTGTTCATTTATTGTTATTGGTGATGATGATGTATCAGGTTGTTTAAGTCCAATACCATTATTCATAGCATCTAATAAACGTTTTGTATCTATTTGATTTGTAAATGTTTGTTTATCAAATTGTTTTTCACTTTTATCAGTCATATCTTTTGTATGTTGAAATATTTCATTTATTTTATTTAATAAAGAATTTAATTCTTGTACACGTATTTGAGTTTCATTTGATGATGATGTTGTTGTTGTACGACCAAATGTAGTATTATTATTATTATTATTATTATTAATAGTTGAATTTGTATTTAATAAACGTTCACGTTCTTCAATTTCAGGTAAATTTTTTGTACGTAATAATTGTGGCATAAAATCATGATTAAATATTGATAAACGTCTTTCAGTTAATTGTTCAATATTAGTATCATTTTCAGGTGATAAACACATTGGTATAATAGAATTTGCACGTAATAATGGTAATATTTGACGTATTGATAAACGTAATGTTGTTATTTGTGATGATAATACATTCATTTCATCAAGAATTGTTGGCCATGATGGTTGACCATGTTCATATTCTGTAAAAAAATTAGATAAAGATTGTTTTAAATCACGTACTTTATCTAATATTTGTTGTAATTTTTCATATTCTGTTGGTTTATTTAATGTTGTTGATGTTGGACGAGACATATTAGATACAAAAAAAAAAACAAAAATTTATCTGAAAAAATATATATATAAGATTTATTCATCCGTCATTATTCTGTTATGTTAAGAATCATGTGGGTGTCTCTTGCTTATGTCTTTCATCTTGTCGATGGGTGATGATCAAAAGAGCCATACCGGTGGTAGGTGAGCAACCGAGGTCAACAAATAAAGATATTTTTCTTGAAATATTATTTAATATTAAGAAAACATTATTTATTTTTATAAGAGAAAAAATTTTCCTATAGAATATTTCTATAACATGATATAAATTCAATAGATGTCTCTAGTATATTATATGCATATTCTATTTGAATAATACGAAATGGTTCATTTTATTCGAATATATTTGATAAGATGTATTAGTAGTGGCGTGACCAGGGGAGGCTAACGAGGAAACCTCTCCAGGTGTAAAATCGCTTTTCGCTCGAGACTATTGCCGTTAGATAGGCCTTAGCAAGTAGTGAAAAGTCCATAAGGGCTTCGGTGCACGGCCTTCTCTTGTTGAGTTATGAGTGTTTTACTCAATTTTTGGTCTATGCGCATGGCATTTTCGAAAAAACTCAATGGTCGAATTTCGAGCTGAAATGTTGTCCATAGATAGGTATTATGGTCACTAGAAAGTCCCCAAAGGTTGAGCCAAAATGAACTCATCCTTACCGAGCTATTCATATTTTAAAGAAACATCTGTTTGGGACTGCGTTTCAAAATAGGGACATTTTCATGAAAAGCTGATATCTCCGCAAGGATGAGGTCGTTGTGGCTCAAACCGTGGAGGCTTTCTAGTGATCATGATACCTATCTATGGACAAAATTTCAGCTCGAAATTCGCTCATTGAGTTTTTTCGCAAAATGCTATGCTCATAGACCAAATATTGGGTAAAACACTCATAACTCGAGAATAGAAGGCCATGCACCGAAACCCTTGTGGACTTTTTCACTACTCACTAAGGTTTATCTAATGGCAATAGTCTCGAGCGAAAAGCGATTTTACATCTGAAGACGTTCCCTCGTAAGCTCCACCACCAAAGCTTTGAGCCCCACTACCGACTTAGAGCTCGACCAGCTGAGCCCCTTCACCGTTAAAATCCTGGTTTCACCACTATGTATTAGTTGATTACATTAAAGAGACAAAAGATATCATAGATATAATATTTAAACAAGATTAAGATAATCTATTTTGAATTATTCGAATGCTGCATAAGAATAGTACGATCATATGAAGATTCATTGTAATCTCATTCTTTGATACTTCAAATGGTTTTTGTCATTCGTTTTTTTTTTTGTATTTATGTAATGCAAAAGAGAAAAAAAACACACAGATATGATTTAGAGTGACTTAATGACTAACTAAATGATTGATTAGTATTTTTCAGAATCTTTCATATTTAAAATGTTTTATTTCTTGATATATGAGCTGGAAATTTTTCGATCACACATGCTTCTTCATTTTTTTAATCGATAGAAGCTGTGAGAATACTTTTGAAAGGCCTAAAATTAAAGTTTGAATATGTAATAAAATGTTCAGAATTGAAACAAAATATATTTTAAGTATATCAATAAAAAGAGCAAGCACTTCTGCATTGATCATGAATTTTCTGTAGTGTTTATCAGTAACAAGAGTTTTGGTAAGAGTTTTCATGACATCTTGCTTTCTAGACTGACAAAATAAACCGAATCGTTTCTAGAGAATAGAAGCAAGATCTTCAATTATTAGCTTTCTTTGTGAACGTCTAACATACGGCTGCTGACTGAGAAAAACTTATGAGGTGATACAGTCAAGTAGAAAAAAAGCAGTGACATTAATCAAAATGTGAACATTTACTATGTAAACACAGAAATAAATAAATTCCAAGCATTTATTCATAATCTCTTAGCTATGAGTTCTTAAAATTTCTGAATCTTTAATCCCGTCAATGCACAAAGTTTTCATTTTATTTCCTCTGTTACAAAGAGTCTGTTGATCATTTCAATCGCTCGGAAACATGAAGAAACATCTTGTCTAAAAACTTTCGACTCATTGCTTATTATTGAAAACACATTCGTGCCTATATTTATTGAGATATTTTACAATAGGATGGTTAGATCACTTTTATGAAGCATTGTGTTACATTTCTAATCTTATGGATTCCGAATTTAATGTGTTCGATCTGTTTTATTTTCTATTTACTGATATATAAGTCTATGTTATTTATGTTTCAAGTGTTGTGGGTGTGGATTCAAGTAGAGAGAAAATTCAAATCTACATCCAACAAACACCCCCACACTATCTACCAAAATAATTGAAGCCTTTTGATAAATAACGTTAGCATTAACGGAAAGCTTCTGCTTCACAGTAAAAATTTGTTTATTTCATATCTTTTGTTCATGATTTATATCATAGCTAATAGACCAGATGTAGCGCATACTATATTTCTTGTGTAATGCTGATTATCTTGTTGTGATGCTGAAATAACTACAAACCAAAATAGAATAAACATAAATATTAAATAGTTTACAAAATCGGTATTGAAAAATCTAGCAAATAAGAAAAGAATCAAATTTAATCGAAACAATTTGGAAAGAAATGATGGAAGTAGATAAAAAGCCACTAATTTCATATTTTGAATGATCAATAAGAATAGAAGAAATTGCCTAGAAAATGTTTTTTGTTACGTAATCAAATAATGTTGACCATAGTGTCGACTTGATAATTTGTATCTGATAAAGTCTTCCATCTTCCGAATCAAATGATTCAACAAATTTGTTTATTGAATGAGCTGATTTTAACCACCACAAATAACAGAATAATGGAATATTAATACTGATCAAAAATGACAATAAAAGATACATGCTCAAGAGTACAAATCGTTAAATAACACGATTGAAATTGATATATTGCCGAATAAAAGTAACTATCCCACCTAATAATGATGTGTTTTTCAGTGAAACTTGACGTAATATTTGACCTGTCCAACGTTCTATTGAATCAGCTAAGGTCCCGATTGACTGACACAGTAAGAAAACTGTGATGATAAACAGTAGTTTACTAATATAACAGTCCAATGTACAAATTATTTTTGAATTTAGATAGAAAAAACTGCTCATAGAATCCACAATGGAAGATTTCCATATGAAATATTAAATAGTAAACCAGAGACCTAATTTAAACATACTTTTATTGATAATGTTTGCAAAAATGCATGCCGCCAAATAGACACACTAGCTACTGAAGAATAAATATAGAAAAAAATGAGCTGAATCATGATCAGTACCAAATCATTTCAAATACAAAACTTGACCAAAACTGTGAATTAGGAACATTAACTAAATTTGCATAAGCATCTAACTAGGTGTGAATGTGTTTGTTCTTTAGGATTGTAGCTAAGCTCTATGTTTAGTTCAACAAAATGAATCATTTTGTAAAATATGCTTCGTCTCGAGAGAGTCAAATGTCATCGCATAAGCATTGTAAACACAAACAAAAATTTTCAGCAAGTGCTGCTCCTAAACTATGTTCTGTGAAGGATATAACGTATGGAATTGAATCTTGGCGTGATATTCATCGAACCAATTAGGAGACTGATAAGCAGAATAGCAAAAAGAGTACACAAACCATACTTCATTTATCGACGTTGTTCACATAAAGTTGAGAGAGATATCAAAATTTTCGACAAACCAAATATTCTGTTCTAGTTTCAGTTTTCTCGTCAACACTTATATTTTCATTGGAATAAATGAAAAGAGTGAAACGACAAAGTACCTTTGCGCATTTTTATCTTTCAGTATTCATACTTGTCGAAAAATTATCGGTCAACAATAATTTCCTTGCTGTGTCGTTGCTAGGGACAACCTCTTTATAAACAATTTTCTATTTTCATTATACAAATGAAATGTATTAATACAAAAGAAAACAACACACAGACGGCAATTTTTATAGATGAGCATTATAATTATTGATATATTTCGGTTGTTTTAACTATACAATAGCATCAAGTAATGGCGTTATTTGATTTACACGTCACATATTATATCATCGTCTATCATATCCTGTTAGTAGAGAGTTAACGACGCTTATGTTGCGATATTTGTATTTATTTTTCAATAAGTTTACATTTTACAAACGATTTACAACAAATAAGTGTATAAATAAAGATAAGTGAAGATTTTTCAATAATATTTTTTAAATGTAGAAAAGCCTTCGTTAACAAAAATAAACTAAAAACACAAACGTCAAAACAGATATTCTAAACAACTATATAGTTTTCAGAAATGCTTATTGTCTTTGAGTAATGTAAATTTTCAAGCAAAATAAATAAATAAGCTTATAAATTTTTGTGATTTGTTTTTTAAATAATTAAATACATTTTCAAGATAATTGTTACATATTGAATGGTAAAATAGTTTTAAATTTGATGATTGGAATTTATACAATCGATAGGGAAAATTACAATTATAATTATCCTGAGCGATAATTTGGCAAAGTAGTAACATTCACTTTCATTGGTATTGAAACTATGATAATGCGATTGGTAGGCGATATTTGACTGGATCTTAACGGTTTCCAAACAATATATTTTAGCTGAAGAACAGAAAACACTAATGCTACACTCAATCCTGCCATTGATGTTCCAATCGAAATGCTCATAACTCGAAAACTCAGCGGATGTTCTTTTCCTGTGATAAACATCATTATTATAAGAGCCATAGTCGGTAGTCCTAGTATAAACAAAATTCCAACAATCATGATAATACGTCGAAGAGCATTCAAATCTCGATCTTGTCGTCGTTTAATGACTGATGTTTGATTGTTCGAATTGTTTCGAATAAATATTGTAATACGAAGATAGATCAGCGATAGAAATACAACGGGAATGCCGTAAATACTAAGAAAAATCCAAAGAAAACCTCGAATATTAGAGAGTGGTATATAACAAAAGTGTTCATTGGGTAGATAGATAATATCATGCCAGAGATAAATAGGACACATAAGAATAAAAGTTAGA